GAGATAGAGATAGAGATAGAGATAGAGATAGAGATAGAGATAGAGATAGAGAGAAAGAGAGAGAGAGAGAAAGGGACAAGGAAGAAGAAAGAAAAATGAGGATTGAGGGAGACAGCTAAAAAGAGAGAGAGAGAGAAGGAGAGAGAGATAGCTAGATAGATACATAGGTGGTAGCTTACCTATAAAGACTAAAGGACAAAGAGATAGAAAGACGGACAGAACAGGATAACATAATGAAGGTTGACTATTAATGTTTATCTAAAGATCACAGAAGAAGCCTATGGAATATAACTATAAGGCGCTTTTAAGTGTTTACATTCCCGCGGATCTATTCTTTATAAGCAGGCTATCGATAACGATTATTCAGGTATTTTCATAAATCGAGAAATTGTGAAATTCCGTTTTTATTACCTTGTAAAACTTTACCTTTCCCTCTACAGTGCCTATCAAAATGTTGGCTCTACTTTATTTCGAGGAATTTCCTATCATATCAGAATTTTGGCTCTACTTCATTTCGAGGAATTCCCTATCATATCAAAATGTTGGCTCTACTTTCTTTCATTCATATATTCATATTAGTTAGTTCTCCAGTTAGCGAGATCTGCAGCAAAAATACAGGGTATAAGCCACATAGAAGATAACTTGGGATCTATTATGTACGTAATGCCCCTGTAAATTCAACCGGTAGCCTCTAAGTTTCTCTCTCTCTCTCTCTCTCTCTGGCAATAAACACCATAAAAAGCCTTATACTATGAGTATAAATATGGAACTACCTCAACATGTTCGTGTAGTTAGGTGCAATTATCTTTACGATTTTGCAAGAAGTCGACCAGAACATTGTATTAATATTGATTTGCTTGTCCTATTATCGTCACATTATTTCACAAAACATCTAAAATCGTGGCAGGTGCGAATCGTTAACATCTTAACAGTCTCAGAGTTGTCAACCTATTCAAGTTTTCTCAATATTCATATGTATATACATATATATGTATTTTAGATATTTTGTATCGAGCTGCTAATTGAAGGTGGTAAATTTCCAAACAGGTAGGCAGTTTGTCACCAAACCTAATCCCAGACAGATAACAAGACATGCCCATTGCCAATGGGCTAGCATGGCAACTGATCGACTAGGAGATACCCTCGTTACAACGTATTAACAATCCGGAGAACTTATATATTTATACCTAAAGCTAAAGATCTTAATCGATGCCATGGGAAACGAATAGAGAATTTTATCTGTTCTAGCCTATATGTCAAATTTTAAATGTTAAGGAGTGAGAGGATGCAGAGAGAGAGAGAGAGATATATATACAGAGAGGTACCCGCACGGCACAAGTCACGCCCTCTTCTGACCGTTACACACATCACGTGAGGTCAGAAATGCCCCGTTTCAGGCATTTTTTAATGGGTAGAAAAGTGGGTAGAAATTAGCGGCAATACTCGGGCACTTTGCGTCTTGGCGATATGATTAGATGTGTCAATATGTTAACCCGACCAAATGACGTCGCCTCAGCATTGTCCACACTGACGTAGTGCCCGGTAGGAAATCTGTGAGGGGCCTCAGGGTGATCGTAGTCGCTGAAGAATGTCTCGAGTGTCTCAGACGTCGAAGCTGAAATGCCCTACACGAACGGGTTTATGGATGGATAGATGACGGATAGAGATTGGTTCGATTTATTATTTGAAGTATTTACTATATAGTAGTTTATGAATGAAAATTCCTGTGGAGCCTAAAAAGTTTATATTCCCGGGGATCCAGAAATTACTTCCACGACTGATCATGAATATATGTATGTGTGTAGCTCGCCAACTCTGCACACGTTTCACACGTTGATAATACTCTACCGACGCGTTTATAGACCCTGGATATAAACTTTGCTCGTTTCGCCGGTCTTACGGAGGCAGCGCTGGCAGCTGAGAAAACTCGGGTATATGAAGACTGAGCGCTGAACCCATAAGACTCGCCGTATTGCAGGTAGGGCAGGTGGCACTACCCCAAAAGGAATTTCATAAGTCGGTGTATATATATATACATATATCAGAGACAGTTAATCGCAATCAAGCGACGATTAATGCTGATACAAACCATAAACAATATTTCTATATGTATAACTATAAAACATTTATAGAAAACTTTCGAGTGCAATTTACAATAGGCCCTCTGTCGAATGGTTGTTTAATTTGCTTTTGCTTTTCTCGCTATTATGTCTGGTTGCAGCCTTATCCTTTTGGGCCAAGTTAGCGACAGGACGAGCATGTCGCCAAATCGCTGGATACTCTTGCTCATCTTCTACATATCGTATCTGCTGTTTGGCGCTGCCATCTACTATCACATCGAGCATGGCGAGGAGAAGGAGGCACGTGCCGAGCAGCTGAAGGAGCGCATTGAAATCTATGGTACGTACACCTCACCCATATACAGCTATATAGATGTATGGATAGCTGGATAGATAGATAGATAGATAGATATATAGATATATATATAGATAGATAGATAGAT